ATATATATATATATATAAAGGTGTAGTATATGATCTGTACGGTGCCAGGCTCCCGGTCCCCCCTCACCCCATGGTAACCGCCCCCCTGGGTTTGCTGTGGTGTGGGTTTCCCCTCTTTCCCGTTCCCCAGAAGATGGCGATCGTGATCCCCATCCGCACTCTACTTCGGTTCTTGCTCAGTCCGAATGAAAGTCATTTAAGCATATGCTCGGGCTGAGTTTTGGCGCACCCAGCCGAATTTGACCACAGCAGGGCAACGGTCGAGGTACAAACTACGAAAGAACTTCAGGTAAGACAAGCTTGTGAAATGCATGAAAGCAAAGAACATGCGATACCTAAGGCCAGAACAGCAGGTACTACCAACGGTCAGAATCGGAATACCAGCGTACAAGAAGCACATCCGCATCATTGTCCTCAGCATCATCGCCATAATTCTCTCATCTGCGTGGTGAGGGCGGCGCGCGGGTTTGCTCGAGAGTTAAAAAAAGTCGACACTTACAGATGAGATGCTTGGCTTGGCGGCTGTGGGGTGTTGGAGGGGCCACTGACGCGGCGAAGCGGGACCATAGAACACATAGGACTCACGTCGGCGTGTGTGTGTGGGTGTACATATGTGGAGAGGAGCAAAGTTCCCTGTATACTGCATGCTGCACATCTGTTGTACGCAATATTTCAATGCCCTTTCCAGGATGCGCCGGTGCCCGAGGGTCCCAGCGACTCCATCAGCTGCTTGCGCTGGTCCCCTGCAGCGAATATTTTCGCGTGTGGCTCCTGGGATAAGAGCTCCTGGTCTAAACTCAGATCGCGGTCGGTGCTTTCGTGGATGCTCCGGGCAGTCCATGTATTTTTGTGTCCGTTCATCCCAAAATCCTACCTGCCGGCTTCAGAGGTGTCAGAATCTACGAGGTCACTGCACAGAACATCGCTCCGCGTGCCCTGCATGCAGCAATCAGTTATCCGAATGACTGCAGCCTGGCAAAGAGAGACTTTAGCCTTGCTGAAGGAATGGCTTACAACCATGAAGCACCAGTGCTATGCTGCGCCTTCTCCAAAGACGGCCAGCGAGTATTCAGCGGAGGCTGCGACAACAAGGCGCAACATGCAACAGCGCATTGCGAGGAAATGCCTCCTACTCATGAGCCGCAATATCTTGTAAGTCGGGCACCAGGCAAGTGGTTGTAAGGATGAAGGGCAGTGGTAAGAATCAAAGATGAAACCGCAAGCTCGTGTAGGGTTTGGTGCCTACTGTCCGACTGTCGCTTGCTTCTGAAGCTAAGGTGAAAATGAAAGTCTTGCAGACTCAGCAAGAACAGCAGATAGGTGACGCGCTGAGTTCAACACATAACGACCTGTCGACGAGCGACGGGGTTGCCGCATGAGTTCGTAGAGTCGGCCTTTGCTGCACGTGAGAAGCTTCCAGGTCAGCATGATGCGCCAGTGAAGGAAGTCTTCGTCGTGGATGAGATGAACATGGTTGTGTCAGGGAGCTGGGACAGGACACTCCGAAGCTTGCCGGCACTCTGGAAAGTTGCTAGGGCCGCTACTGCAGACTGTATAGGGCTTGGGAAGCTCGCAGGGGGTCTCCGAACTTGGGTCCTGGAAAGGTTTCTGGAACCTTCAGCAACCAACTCCTGTGGCCACTCTGCAGCTTCCGGAGCGACGCTTGGCTCGACGAAGCGGCTCACATGGAAGGCCCAGCTGGCACAGCTTGTTTGGATGCTGTCAATCCAAGGAGTATACGCAATGGATGTGAAATATCCCTTGCTTGTGGTGGGTTGTGCGGAGAGACATGTGCCTCTTTGCTGCAAGCCCTGATTCTCGCCCAGCGCCTCGCCGCCCGAAACGCACTGGAAATTTGAGAAGCCGGGCATTGGATGTGTGTTGGCCCAAACGGCCTGCTCGACAACGATCCTGTCCTCGCAAGTTTGATGTTTTATCATTTGCACGTTGTGCGAAGCCTATGGCCTTAGCACTTGACCAGCGCATTTGTCATCATTTGTCTCCCTGATCGATCTGACGGCCAGTGACGGTATCTCTTGATATGTTATGTATTTGTCTTCGGGCAGATAGAAAAGTTGTTGGAGGGTCATGGTTGCACGACTGGTCTCATAGAGCATATCAAAGGCTCAGTTGCCGTCTGACTCTGTGAAGGGCTTTCGAAATCCATCTGCCTGACGTGCCATGATTACATCATATGATTGATGTCCGAAAATCGTTGCGGAGATTCAAAGGTAGAGGATAGCCATATGCTACCCTTCTGACGTGGGCATGGAACGACTGCTGCCGAGGCTTGTATACAATCTGCAAGCCATCCAGCAGAATCCAGCACCATATAAACAGGGCCAGACGGCTCTCAAAATGCAAACACGAGCCATTTGCCGCTTGGCCGCTCTCACTCGGCATTTCGAACGTGTTGATGGGTGGAGGAGCTGTGCATGGCCTCGTTACCGAGGCTGCTTTCCTGACAAGACAGGATATGCAGTTGGATCGATAGAAGGTCGATGCTCAATCGCTCACATAGAGGACACAAGCAAAAACTTTGCCTTCAAGCGTCTTGGCGTTTAGTAGCGCTGCATTGTGTCATTGGCATTGTGATGAGAACGGTCGACACAAGGTGCCACCGCACGAACACAGAAATCTACGCGGTGAACGACATCGACTTCCACCCACAGATGGGGCGAATATGGCTGCAGTCAGGAAATTATGAATAACTTGACGTCCGGCTTGCTTCCTGTCACAGCCTTCTCAAACGTTTGCTCTTTTCTCCTGCCTACGCAGCACATGCTGCGCCACTCAAGCATCCGCTGCTTGAGGACATTTGCGACCTGTGGCGGTGATGGCACATTTGTGTTTTGGGACAAGGAGAACAGACCGCCAGCTGAATGGAAGGGCTCACATGAGGCACGTTTGGTCACGGGTCGTAGGCAGGTAAAGCAAGTCACAGCCGGTTGCAAACTGAGGACAGCGCCTCAAAGCCTTCAACTCTTGTCATTATCCGATAACCGCCGGGAAGTTTAATGCACCTTGGATGCACAAGCAAACGATGAAACGAGGCACACGTCTGCTTGGAAGCAGGCGTACAGCTGGGTTCTTTTGGCATAGTTCTTGCTGCCAGGCACCCGGCGACATGTATGCAACTGGGTCGAAATTCAGATATCGCTTCCCGGCAGACTGCACGTGTTCCGAGTATAGATAAGCTAAGCAAGACGCCTTGTTTGTTAAACATGACGGGGCCCACAATCAGATGCATCTTTGACTGTAGCGAAAGATTCGCCTGTCGAAGGAAGTCGGAGGGTTGGTCTAAAGGGGAAGTCCGCAGGAAGGGCCTCACCCCGGAGCCATGAAACTCAGAGTCTTCTGGGGGAAACAGTCAGCTCAGTTGGAGAGGTTTTGGCTCATGTTCTTCAAGCTTGAACCAGGCAGCGTTTCGTCCCCAAGCCCTGGCGCGCCTGCCGCACGAAGCATCACGAAGCACTGAGGCCTACGCTGTGTCGTATGATTGGAGCAAAGGCCATGAGCAGAACCATCCGAGTTTGCCGAAAGGCGTCCAAGCCTGAGGCTGCTGATAGCAACGTGTGTGTGCTGCAGTGCTGCGTCCCAAAGCATAGCGGCATAGCGGCAGTCCGTAGCAGTGCGCGACGAAACCCGTGAGGTCTTGGTCCATAAAGTCCAGGCGATGGAGGTTCAACCAAAGGCCGGCTCCGCAAATCAGCGCGCCAAGAGATGAGAGGCCGGGCGCCGGATGGAGTCAATGTAGACAGCACCGTGCCCCTTGTCTACTGCTGCCATTGGCGAGATGTAAGCACGAAGGATCTACACCTAGTTCCCATCGGGCCGTTGCATGGGATGGGGCTTCGTAAGGACCCGAGCACCCGAGATGCATAGAAGACCCCATTCTTCTTGCGACTGATGAGGTGCGGCGGCTGCTCTGAGGCCACCTGAAACCCCATGATGCAGCATGGGGCATGGTGACACAGTGGAGCACCTCTAAACTCTAGACTCTAAACCAACCAAACGGAGACCTCTCGCAGGGTATGCCGTGAATGTTGTAACGAAGACAAAACTCGGTTGACTGCCAATTGCGCCAAGACAAAGATGTTTCACCTGTTAGTGGAAGACTCCGAGCGCGGCGCCATGCTGCGCATTATGCAGGGTCGAACAACAGATGCGAGACGTGTTTGCCGGCAGTGCAAGTGCAGGTCACGACTGCGATAATGGCATTCAGTGCAGGAATCCAACCCACATGGACTCCAGTCCTTGGTAGCCGAAAGCAGCCGTCGGCTGCACGCGAAGCCTTTTTGACGGAGCCGTTTTGGCCTGAAAATGGACGGTGGCATGATGAACTGAGCAGTATTTTCCGGCACTGCCAGTTTTTTGCAGCTTTTCTTGACATATCCCAGCATGTTGCCAGCCATCTCGTCACGCACAGCAAGCTACTTACGGGAGGTACTGTTCTTACACCTTAGATTTGCGAGCATTGGCTAATAAGCCCACCATGAGCGAGCTTGCTGACAGCCTCGAAGGCCTTGAGTCCGGCGATTGACTGAGTCTTGCGAGAACAGCAAGTGAGGGAATTGGATTTCCAGACAGCATGGCAGGCACAACAGATGAAAGTTGCTTGCTGCACCCTGGATAAGGCGAGTTAGATAGCAGCCGCTCGCCAGTCACCGATGAAGCTGTGATGTCCATTATCGAGCAGATTAGCCGCTCGACAGGTCTTGTCACGCCTTTAGATCAGCAGCTGCAAGAAAACACGTTTTCGATAATCCTCCATGGCAGTGCCGGATGCCGTGAGACTGTGAGATGCTAACCGCTAGCTGTTAGCATTCTGTACCTGCATGTCAGACATGTCAGCATGTTGCAACCCAAGGTGTCCTGACTCCGGAGCAGAAGGAGAAAGTCCGCAGAGCAATTCTGTTTGGCAGCTCCGCAAATCTGTTCAAGGACTGCGGGGGCGAATGAGGTAGCGTGTGATGTTTCATTGCTTTTTCACCCGAGTATTGTGCTGCGACTGACGGGAGGATGTTGATCGATCGGCGTTCTTCATGCGCCGTGGCTTCATCTCAGGGTTTGTTGCACATTTGTGCCTTCGAGACAGTTTATGTCGAGCATATTCTGCTGCTGGGATATCTTGAATTCGGCGCCAAACTGCAGGGAGGTACCAGGTAGCAGACTCTAGCTTGCTCAAGCTGGAGCAAGAGCCCACATGCTGCAATCTGAACATCTTCAGCAAGAGCGTAAAGCGACAGTTCTAAAAACAGGGACCTGGATTGCTCGGCCCTGGCAGTTGGCACATGCAGACTGATCGCCAAATGGGAGTTTCCCAAAATTAGGGGTACCTAATTTTGGGGTCCTTATTTAATAAGGATCCTAGTATTTGGGGTACTATATTAGGGTCCTTATAATAGGGATCCTACTCCTACTATTTAGGGTACTATATTAGGGTCCCCTATTTTCGGACACCCCCAAATCGAAGGAGAAAAGCTCTCAAAAGCCTGAGCAGATCCAGGAATCGTCCTAGCTCCATTCCTCGGTGGCGCTCCGCGTCGCCCAAGGAGCCCGACAGATCTCTATAGATAATAAAGAAAGGGATAAGCATGAATATGTAAATATATATAATATATAATATAATATATATATATATATATAATATATATATACAAAATATATATATATATATAGACATTAATAATTAATACGTACATACATGCAGATAATGCAGATATAAACATCTCTCTCTCTCTCCCTCTCTGACGTTGCTATCTGTCTACGCGTGTTGTCTATCGCAAAACATGTATATACATACATACAGGCATATAGATGTACTCTCTATCCTATCTGCCTGCGCACCTACCTGAGTACCCTGTGTGCATGTAAGCATGTGGGCATCTACATCTGCGTCTAGTTGTCTATCCACATGTGCACGTAGACATGCATGCGGGTGTGCATGCCCGCATGAAGGCGTACGTGGATTGTTTACACCGCATAGGTTTGCAGGCACACAGCTATGCAGGCCTGCGCAAGTATGTATGAAAGTATGTCTGTGTGCATGCATGTGGTATGTCACCCCGTAGTTGAATCTGAGGAAAGTTTATTCGGGGACAGAAAGTACCTGCCCGGGCTAGTGGTACTACTCACAACAAGTAGTACTAGCGACACGACTAACTAGAAGGAAAAGGATGCAAAGTGGAAAGTGGTCAGTTGATACCTACACGAGTTTAGGTGATACAACAGTGGAAGCAGGCAAAACCTGACTTGGGCATGTTTCCACTTTCACGCATGTGGCCCCATCATGTGTTGCCGATGTGCGGCTGGAAGGGAAGGCTAGAGCGACTGAGCCCGCAATTCAACAAAATGTTTGGCTGCGGACATCTTCCAGTTTTCGACGACAGGAGCGGACAGCGGGTACTGGAGCCTCGCCGATGCTTCAGACACAGCCCTCCGGTTGCAGATGGAGATTGCGTCTTTGCAACTACAGCCAAAGCCACTGCAAGACCAGTCTTTCACAGTGCTTCCGGTGAGGGACGGCGGCTACAACCGCTATCTCAGCAGTCGGGCGCTCGGAAGTTTCGAACAGCTTACAAGCCGCAGAAATCTTTCAACTAGTCCTTTCAGCCGTACGAAGTCGGATGCCTCGGGATGCTGCTTTTGGCTCAGGCTGTAGTCTTGTTATTGGTGTTTTCTGTTTTGATTGCGAGATACGTTGTCTGTGCGGTCCGACCTCTCCGCGACCTGCCATGGCACTGCGAGCAGTGTTTTCCGTTGCGCTTGCTTCTTGCTGTTTGCAGCTTGCCAGAAGTACACGCCTCAGTGGCCAAGCGCATTCGTCAGCAGACGGGGCGAGTGGAGAACGGGGAAAGTGCGAGCTGGACACCGCGGAATTCTATTGGGAATACGACAAGATCGCTGTGTCTGGTCTTTCTTTCGCAGTTATGGCATGCATGCTCACTCTAAGCGTTTGGAGTGCGACAAACCCGGTCAAGCGACACTTTGCGGTGTTCTTCAATGCAGTGATTGGAGTGGCTTGCATCTTTCTACCGTACATCGCCGGGAACCTTGCGAAGTCGAAGCTTGTGGCCCGCACCTGCCATCAGTGCCATTGCGACGATGCGGAAAGGAACACTGTTGTAGACCAGGCCAGCTTGTGCATCCTGTTCGCTATCATGTCCAAGACCGCGGTGGCAGCGAACGTCTTGGGCATCCTGGATTTGATCGTCTGTTCAGTCGTGTGCTGCACCGGAAGAATCAGCAAGAAGAGTAGCGAGGAAACAAGCACATAGCCCGAGCCCTACAGCGGCGCGGCATTCTGCGAGGCTGACTGCCACGATTCAGCTAGCACAAGTCCAGAAGCTTTGCGACAGCGCGGTGAAAAGCATGCAGGAGCTTTGCCAGCTCTCGGTCAATTCACTTGCTGTATCATCCTAGTGGTTTCTCGGTGCCTTTTTCTTGTTGGTGCTCAGGAGCCCAGTCTCTGCTGTGAAATGCTGATTTCGGAGCCTGTTTTGCGCTGCAGTAAGGTCCTGACTGCAGCCCTACTCGATCCGGTTCTCGTGCTCTGAAGCGTCTTGGCAGACACTGGCTCTTGCTTCTGGAGCACAGCACCGTTGCAAGGAGCTTGAGCGGATTTGAGCGGCTTGATATGAGATGATAAACGAGTGGATGGCTTTGGGTGAGGCGAACGATCAGCGGCACAGGCCACCCAATCGACGACCTGCTACGGGAACGGGGCCATGTGAATCGCTACTTGGTGGTCGTCTCGTCTTTGTCATTGGACTGGAAGGACTGATGCCTTCAGCTGACAGTTCCGCTCACAGATGTTTTTCCCCAGCTCTAAATACAAGGAGCTCATCAAGATCCCTGGTGTTTCTAACTACGAGCTGCGACTGCTTTGGCACTTGTACTTCTTGCGGTCACAGGCGATGCGGATAGCATCTTGCCCGCATATGGCATCCACAGCTCTTCGGGCCTCCCTTCCTGCCTCATCCCTGAGGTCATGTGTACTTCCCAGTACATACCTGCTCTTGGCTCAGTACTGCTTCACCTACGACTGCTTTGATCGTGGGCGATATTGCACAGCCCAGGAAGCACTGATCAGCTACTACTTGCGTTACCTGCCCAGTGATGTTTCGCCAAAAGAAGCTAGAAGTCGTTTGACAACCATCGCTTGCAACGTGTCTCGGCTCATGGTCAGCTGCTGTCGTGCTTTGACCCCGTGAGAAGGCCTGGAGACTCAGGACATGACTGCGGCCAGTGTCACCAACAAGTTGCTCAGCAGGAAGCGTGCTTTGAATCGCATTCGCGATGCTATCGAGCCCGAGAAGGCGGCGATGACGTGCTTCAACTCCACAGCAACTTCGGCAGCATTAGATGCAACAGGCTTTCATCACATGTGAACCTGCTTTCAGAGTTGGACAAAGGATTCGGAAGTGCAGCTGGCCGCTCCGCTCGAAGAAGCGTTCCCAATTCGATGTGGGCACAAAGATGGCCAGATTACTCTATGTTCTCTCTGGCAGCTCTCCTCTTTCGAACTCCAGCCCAAGGCATTTTACTGGTACCTTGCGCTTGTCTCCCAGGCAGAAGAACTGGGAATTCCTCTCTTTGGCACTGACACCCAGGGAGCTTTCTGGGGGACGAAGACAGGCAACCGGCAGGTCTTCCGAGTCCCTGGGCAGTGCAGGAATGTAGCAACCGCATGTCCTCCGAGGGGCCGCGCAACCCAACATGTATTTCATGAAATGCAATCTGAGGATGCAGGTGTGCTGCACCCAGATGGCAGCTATGATCTCATTTACAGTGAGGAAGAGCTCTGCGAGGACTTGCGCTGCGAACGTGCATCCCAATCCCTGGCATCACGCAGGGCAGATTCCGAATGAAGTGTCTCTACCCGACTCTATCCACTTGTTTCAGGAGATCCTGTCCTTGCTGAGGCGCTGCCCTTCAACAAAGAAGGCCACCGTAGCACAAACCTACAATTGTCCGCCTCTACTAGTTGGATTTGAGTAAGTCGTTTGACCAGTATCGCTGCAGACCTTGCCAGGCTTGTCCGAGTCTGAGTGTCAAAATTGCCCGCCTCTGGGGGCGGTGCAGGTCATGGTAAAGCTGAACGACTCCTTCAGCGGAGAGGGAAACGCTGTCCTTCGCGTCGATAGTGAACTCGTGGAAAGCCTCCAGGAGCGGCATGTAATATCACGTAGTGTGGAGCAGTCCGGTGCCTCACATGTCCGTAAGCGACAGGAGTCCGACGAACAAGCCATGGACGTTATTTTCGACAGGCACCGAGCTGATTGTGTGGCTGATGTCACGGCCATGCTAAGCTGATCGCCGTTTGCATCGTGTTGGGCATTGACTTGATTCTTGATTTGGTAAGACCAAATGGAACAGCTCGGCAGGCTGGAGAACTCTCTAGAGTATGTGGCACCAGGACGCTGCTGCCTGAATGCTGCACCAGTTCTAGCAATAGCAGCCCCTCAATTTGTTCCACTCCGATCCCGGCAGGATTGACCTGGGACAAATACTACCAGCAGTTCCAAACTTTGGGCGGCATCTGCGAGCTTTTCATAGAAGGCTGCTCGCTTACATTGCAGCCTGAGTCTTCTGCTCCATAGTCATGGGATGTGTCGCCTTGCGCATGCGGCAATCCAAAGCATGCTCCAGGACTCTCTCATGCATTTACGGCTACGTGCTGATGCCTTGCGAGGTCAGAGCTCTGCCAAGACATCGCCTTCGTGCCAGGCCTTCTTGAATGCAGATGGCAGTGTCAGGACACCTTCCTGGAACAGGGCAGTCTAAATACTTCCACACTCATCTCGTGGAGAGCCCAATCTCACGTACGCAGTGCGGCCCAGAATCGGACTCTGAGCCATAGCCAGGATTCTTGCCACCCACGAGCAGATGCTGAACGGTCAAATCTACACAGGTTGGCTGAGCACACGGACGGAAGTGTCTAACAGTCTATCTCTTGTTAGCTTCTTGGGCATGTTTCTTCTGGTGGCAACGAAGCAAGAGCTAAGCTGCTGTAGATTCTAGATCTATCCGGCTCTGCGTTTGGGTCATGCAGGATGCACATTCCCTGCGAAAGAAGAGTATTCTGCAGAGCTCGTATCGCTGACAAAGAAGATCGGCCAGGACCGGCATAATCTGAGCAACAGCACATCAGGACGGATGTGCGTGGATGTTTATGCTTTTCTGCAGGAGCTCGTTGGTCGGCAGGTTGTGGGCTACATAGCGGTTGACTTCGTGTCTGTGCGACAAAGCGACGGAAGCTACAAGCTCCTTGGATGCCATGGCAAAGAGCCAACGTGTTCCCAATTGTAGCTGCGTGCATCGAGGGCGCTTCCTGCCAATGTCACAGCCAGCTCTTAACATTCTATCTGATTCTATCTCTTCTGCCATGTCAGGCATTGGGCAATAGAAGTAAATGTGCGCATGGGCGGCACGACACTTCCAATCATGACATTGCTTCCCGGCTGTTTGCTTGTTTGTTTGTTTGTGTCTGTGCGCGCGTGTCGCCGTCGCTGATGCGCTGCTGGTGCGGCCTTCAGTGAAGCGAGCCGCGGGCCCATCCGAGGAATTTTCTCTGCCGTGATGGCCGGCTGAACGAGCAGACCTCCGAGTTCATCGCAAGCGATGGAAAGCCGAGGTCGACAGCCCCAGCTGCAGAGTCCACAGTGTGCCACAGTCCTGTAAGAGCCGAAGCCTCGTCTCGGCTTGGAGCGCGTTGCATGGGCTCAGCCTCGACTGCAGGTTTTATGTGGCGTCGGACTCACTCAGCGGCGTGGACAAAGATGGCACTGGTTGTGGGGCAGCAGCGGGAGATTTAGCTTCGAAATCCTAAGGAAAGAAAACTTACAAGGGCTTGGTCATTGAGGACTTGCTGGCCATCATCGAACGCATCCCGACTGAAAGCGGTTGCCGCCCTGCAGTAGGCTGGCCTGCCTGGCCTGGAAACTTGAAGTTCATGCCGCGGTTCCCAAGACATGTCTTGCCGATATCAGGACACTCGTCAGAGATTGAGTGGAACAAACGGCCGGGTGCTCCCGAAACAGGCCAGTGGTCAGCTGCGTATGTCCGGTGAGATGTTTAAAACGCCCGGAGGCACGATTTTCCACTTGGTCACGCTTCTGTCCGAGCTCGGGAAGTGTGGCTGCGTTTGCATCGGCCGGTCGAGGGAGGAAGCCCAACAAATCTTTCGACGTGTTCAGGAGATCTGCTGTAGCAAGAGGCTGCATCCAGTGACTGAGTTCAATTTGGTGGCCTGAATCACTGAAGGTTCTTATCCGACATGCTGCTCACGAATTACAAAATAGGATTGCGTATTCATTTCGACCGTCTCTGGGTGTTGGTAGGAAGTGCACGGGCCCACAGCCCGCTAAACCGCTAAACATGAATCCATGAACCGCAACGAAACGACGAAAGAGGAGCCTGAGCTTGGTTCGTGTTGGTTGTCAGGACATCCTGGATGCAGAAACACGGACGGTGGAGGCATGCGCTCCTGAGCATGACGGAGTGGCTTCGAAGCTTCTGTGCTCATGCTACGGGTGGCTTAGCATGTTGCCTTGTTCTTCCTGGCCTGAGACGTTGCTAGCACACCGTCACCGTAATGCTTTGAGCTGCGATAGTCACAATCGAGCATCGTGGATCTGACAGGTGCCTTCGACAGAAAAAGCCGTGGCAGCTGAGTTAGACCTGGTTATCGAAGAGCTTGAAGGCGACGAAGAGGACGGGATATGACGGGATCCAGTCGGTGCGGAGTAGCTCAAACGGGAGCCCCAGTAGCTTGACTGTAAACGCCCGCCCGTGGTTGATTTGAGGATGACGCAGCTGACATGCTGAACTGACTTTGGGGACTGGGTTTGAGGCAGCTAGACCTACAGTAGCTCCGTTTTAAGAGACAGCGCCCCCTCACACGGGAAATTTTGCGCCTCGAGGTTCGAAGGATTTGCCCCTCTGTTTGACAGAGACGTCCGGCTAGCATGAACCAAAAGACCACCACTCAAAGACGGAGAGACTCTCAGGCATTATCCTCAGAACCCCCTTCCAAGCCTGTCGCGGCATCGCAGATTCGATGCTTTCACAGGTTTCGTTTTGTGCTGGACCATCCGGCGGCGTCTTTTGTGAACGCAAAGGAAAAAAGACAAGGATTTCTGCGAGCCAAGGTGCCCTGATCATGAGACGTCATGGCAGCATTTCGGCACCATCGTGCGGCTCGAGCTAAGTTGGATCATGGCTTACACGTAGCTTCCAAGTTCAAGGAGACATGTTGATGGAACTCGACAAGCATTGAACAGCCCTGCCCAGCCAGAAAGTCCTAACTACCGGCCAGAGTGAGAGTCGAATTACCGGCCATTTGCGCAGCATGGTTAGTTTGATCGCTGCTCTACCACATCCAAAGCTTGATCTGAATCTCGTATCTCGTAGGAGGGTGTAACGGCACCGGGTGTGTAACCTCCCCCCACCACAATGACACCAGACACAAGACTCTGCGGCGAGCTGCGAGGCTTGTCGTGACACACTTGACTGTCGCATAGTGTCGCATGCTCTTTGCAGTTGCACCGCTGGTTGAGGTGGTTTGTGAATCAACGCCCACTGATTGGTGTTTGTGCCAGGCAGTCACCGCGATGTACCGGCTTTCTTGCAGCCCCAGGAGGTGAAAGGATGCATTGGCAAGGGCCACCTTTCCGGAGGTGCTATTGCCTCTCATTTCCGAGGTTCGCGAACAGCGTGGCACCTCACCAAGTACTGAGAGCCGCTTGCGTTGGGACAGCAAGGCCTTTGATGTTGTGATTTCTGTATCTCCAACCGACCATGACCCTGCCCAGATCGACATAGAAGTCGACCACGCTGCTCAGAAGCTCATGACGGTCAGCTGTACCGCGAAGGTCGCAGAGGCCGTGGTAGCAGCATTGACAGATGCAGGCCTGGCCGTGTCTTATCACTCCGATCCGACCGTTTTATCAAGCCCAAGCGCCCGCAGGATCCAGGTTGCAAAGATGTTCAACCGCGTGCATCTTACCGAAGGCCGTCAGAGCGCTCTAAGAGCTATCGAGCGGCATCTCATCGGCATGCCTGCTACAGGAAAGCAGGTCGCTTGCTGCCTGCTTGAAGCAGGAGGATGAGGTTACCGCAGTGGCTTCGCAATCCTTCTTGGACCCTCCGGCCTTGTGCAGTCCGCTTCTTTCACATCAAGAGATGTCTTGGATGAAGGATGCCTGCTCCAACCTCGGGGCGGTCCTGATCTCACTGGCTTCGGCCATGAGCCAAAGCCTGCTGCTCCCTTTGGAGCCTTGATGAATCGTGAAGCTAACACTTCTTTGCACAGCTTGCACAACTAGTGACTGGTGGTGCTTCAACGAGGTGTAGCAAGGCCTTAATTCCTTCATCATAAACGGTTCTGATCTTTGTTCATCCCCTCCCGGCCAAGGAGTCTTTTCATCGTGGTGCCAGCGCAGATCACCTCAGGAGCCGATGAGCGAGGTCACGCGACGCAGCGAGGTATGTACGAACGCCCGCAGGAAGAAAGCCGCGCTGGACGGACTTCGTGAGCAAGAGCTGAGCTGCTCCAACTCCGTGACCGAATCCTTGCAGAAGCGCGACAGAGCTCGTGTTGGCCTGCAGAGTGCCATGCGGGAGCAGGAGTGCCGTTAAGCCTGGATTGCAGCCCTCGGTCACGATCGCTTTTTTTTCTTCGGAAGGAGAAGGCCCAAAAGAAAGCTGGAGAGAAGAAGAAAGGTCTTGCTCGCTTTACTCGGGGAGACGGGGAGAAGGACATTGCGGCTGCGGAGATGAAGGTCCAGAAGGCACCGCAGAGCCCAGTGTGTCAAAAGCTTCGTGTTCGAAGTCCAGACGTTTGTTCAACAAGCGTCTGACATTGACATGCCACCATGTCTATGCAGTTTAGCTGCTGCAGCTGTGACCTCGGGTTCCGCAGATGATAAAGAGTTAGCTGACTGTTAGCTCTTAGACCACCCGGAGACCAGAACCGCACTTATGGGGCATGTGTGCACTGCATCTCTGTGAGGCGGCTTCTGCACAGACGGCCTCCATCGAAGAGCTGGCATCACGTCATGTCCTGACAACACCTTGCGCACAGATCTAGGCAAGTATGAATGCCCAAGCCCTTTGCTACCCTGAGGAACAGAGGAGGCCAATGAGGCTCGACTGTTGAGGGAGAGTGCCACCAAAGAAGTGGACCTCCTCCTCTCTTACATCGAAACAGTGCGTACGAGGCAGGCCTCCCACACGATCTTGAGTCGGCTATTCGGGGAAGAAGTACTTCTCCTGTTCTTCATCGCGTTACAAACGCCTCCCCTGCCACCAGTTTGCTTCAAAGTAGGTTTGGCATCCCATACAGGAGCTTGTGACTGTCACACATGATGCACGACGTACCGGTATTGAGCAAGGGATCTATACTTCCATGAGTCTTCCGTGCAAAGCACGTCTTGGAGGCTCTTGTCCCGGTGCCTGAACAGCTGCGCTGTGGCGTATGGCGAGGCGGCCAAAAATCTGCGAAAGAGCGCAGCAGACCTGCAGAGCCAGGCGGGCTGCTGGAAGCGAGTAGATCTGTCTTTCCGAACAGCCTGCAGCGCTACGCCCCGCAAAATGTCCAGGTCTCCTTCTTGCGCCAGGCGCAGTCCACTAGACCAGAGATGCCGGCTTCGGGAAGCGATGGGCATGAGAGCAGTTTGCCGTCTTGGGCCATGGAGGCTCGCCCGGGCTTTGTCGGTTCGACTTTCCCGTCACGGCACAGACTTGCCTTCTTGCAAGTGAGGCCCTGAAAGTGTCCAAGCCCCTTGCTGGCAATGTCAAGCTGAGCACCATCACTGTGGGAGCATGGGGTACTACTACATGGTCTTTGCAATCAGCCTGGGCGCGATTTGTTGTGTGTTGCCACAGAAGGCAGAAGGTGCAAGGCGGGTCAATTGGTTGAATTGCCACCGCTGGCTACATCTGAGGAAGCGCCCGAGCACAATAGTCACGTTCTCATTGATTGTGCCTCTCAGGTACTA